TCAGACCCCTCCCCCTCACCTCCCTTCAATTTTCATTCCTCTGGATATATTGCGTCTATTTTTCACAGATAACAAAACCGAGCGTGTGATTAAATTAATTTACTTATTGAATTGATTAATTTTTTAATTCGAAAATCAATGCATACGCAGATAGTTGTTTAGAACATTATTTTCAATTGTTTTTTCAACATAATTTAAAATATATATAATGTTCATATAAATTCTGCCCCCCCCCCCATCAACGGGTGAAAATCTCAACCCTCCGTATACATACCCTTCCCCCCACTTCTCACAAAGTTCAAAATTTTTAGATTCCATTATTTTATTTATCTAATTATTTGATGCCCCTCTTCGCCCCTATTTGACCCGCAGCATTCTCCTCCTACATATCTATTTGCGATAACATTGTTCACGTAGGGCAATTGGGTCAGTACAGAATTAAACTAATTTAAAAAAATGCCAATATGAACCTATTGGATAATCAATTTTCTCCCGCCACTGCTGCCGACTTTATCGGCCTGGGCGAGAAGTCGACACTGCCGCCATCCGGCGGCGTTCCCCCTACTGATTTATTTTCCCTTTCAATACGCAAACTGTTATTTTCCTTAATTAATGGAGATTAATGTCATTAAAGCTACTAAAATTCCTTAATAATTCATAGATTTACATCCATAATCGTTTCAGGTATCACTTACCTTTTTTTACACCAAAACAAGTAGCCACCTAACAGCCACCTAACTTAAGTGGCTGCTTGCATCCCAGGGCAGCTAAGTCTATTTTATTTAATTTAACATTTGCGCCATTCATGTAAAGTAGGCAGAAAAATTATCCTTAAAATAATTAAAATATATTCTCGACTCTTTCAGAAAGTTTTTTCGGGCTACTTTACATGAATGGTGCACTTGTTTATAAAAAAAACAAAATTAGCTGTGTAGGAGTTGGATTTTGAAAAAACTAATTTGTAATTGTTATTGCACACATTTTTTCAAAAATTTGGAAAAAACCTCTGTAGCTCGAAAATTGGAGGCCCTGGACAATTTTTAACATTTTAAGTGTTTGCGGGGCAGACGAACAATAAACAATTAATTTTTTTGCACTAATTATTCGTTTTTAGACATATATAATTGATTTTCAATGTATGAGAAATCTTATTCCAATAGCCCGCAACTTTTAAAACTCATTGTAGTCTCCCCTTAATTAACAGAGAAGTTGGCTTCCTACAAAATTTTTCACGAACATGAAAAAACTCGGTTTTCGGAAAATAGCTAAACATCTTTAGAATGAAAAAGGTCAGATTGAAAATGCAAGTGGTAGAAGGAGTAAAATTATGTGTATAATCGTTGATGAAATGGTTATAGCAAACGAGCAACCAATTTTACGAAGAATAAACTAGAGATCATTCTTCATAAAAAAATCGAATTCTGTATGAAAGGAAACGTAAAAACATGTAAGTTTCTAATAATAGTTCAATTCAGAGAATAAATTAAGCCAACTTGGTTTAGTTTACCTTTCCAATAAGGAATAAAACTGCAACAAATAATACTCTTCAATTTTGACCAAGAGGTTTCTTCCATTCTTGTCAATTTATTTTGATGAACAACAATACTAATTCAAGTCGTAATGTCATAATGATACAGGGGCAAGGCCAAAAAAACCAAATCCAACACTGGCTACACCGCAGAAGCTCTCCAAGGGGCTTTGGAGGCTGTGAAAACTGGGATGGCAGTGAGTCGCGCAGCGAAGAAATACAACATCCCCAAGACCACTCTATCATACAAAAACAAGGGACTGCTCGCCCCTACTATAAGTAGAAGAGGGCCCTCTTGCATTCTGGGGGTCGAACACGAAAAATCTCTCATCCAGTGGCTGCTCGACATGAGCCAATGTGGTTTCCCAATCACAAGAGAACAATTGCTGAACAGCGTACAAATGTTACTGAACCAACTAAAGCAAAAGGAAACAGTATTTAAGAACAATCGACCTGGCGCTCACTGGTACAGAGCATTCAAAGCGCGTAACAAAACCACACTGACCGAAAAAGTTATTCAAAATCTGAAAGGCCGCAAAATTTCTGCAACAGAAGCAAACCTCCGAAAATGGTTTGCAAATGTGAAGTCTCAGCTCGAAACTAAAGAACTATTAGACATCGAGGAATCACGTGTCTTCAGTTGTGATGAGGCAGCCATCTATCTCAATCCGAAGAATAATAAAGCGTTACTGAGATTGGGCGATAAAGCAGACTACAATTTCATCAACAACCATCAGAAGGAATGTTTAACAATGATGATTTGTGGAAATGCTAAAGGACAATTGGCTCCTCCCATGGTGGTATTCCCATACTCTCGTAACATCCCCGCAAAGATTACAAAAGACATTCCAAGTGATTGGATTGCCGGAAAATCTGAAAATGGTTGGGTAGATTGCGACTCTTGTTTCGACTGGGTACGTGACCATTTCCATCCTTGGCTGGTGCGAAATAACATCAAATTTCCGATTGTTTTGTACTTGGATGCTTGCACATCTCACCTGACATTTTCATTAAGTAATTTATGTAAAAAAAAAGGAATAATACTCGTTGCTTTGTATCCCCATTCAAGCCACATCATCCAGCCGATAAATATTGGAGTTTTTTGTCAATTAAGCGATGTGTGGAAGGGGATTGTTGATCAGTGGAGGGAGGAGCATGAAGGAAATCATCTGAGACGTGAGAACTTCGCATCATTGCTCCAGAAAGCTATCAGAGCGTTGGACGTGGAGAAGCTTCTGACGGATGCCTTTAGATCAACCGGTCTCTACCCATTCTCTATGGATGCCGTAGATTTTCGTAAAAATTCAGTGGATTCATCTAGCATTAAGCCTGATTTTATGGATGTGCAAGGTACAGTGCATGTGCCCGAGTATTTAGCAGTTCTTGAAGAATGTATTGGGGATGAACTTCTCGAGGAATTCCGAGCAGTAGTGGGGGATGAATGGACTGGGCTTGAGAAGCACACAAGCCTCTTTTCGGTTTGGCAGAAGATGACGAGAATGAGGCTACTTGAGGATTTCACAGGAAAAAACTTTTCGGAGATAAAGGTTGAAGAAGATCGTACGGAGATGGATTTTGAGACGGGAGAGGCTGTGTAATTTTTTATTTGTATGTAGTATTTTATGCTGTTTGGTAAAAATGTATTCTTCAGTCTGAAATAAATCATGTCCTGTTTTCGTAGTTTCTGAAAACAATCCTAATTCAATAATTCTGAATGGTGTAGGATGCTCCTATTCTCTCCAAAAAATTCCCATACAGATTTCTATTTCAAAGTAGTATGAACTTGTAGCAGAGAAAAATGAATTGGAGAGCCTGAAAAAAAAAATCCGTCTTCTAGCACATAATGAATTTCAACTGAATTGGTATTTCAACCGCTCATATTCATATTGAGATTCCTCCTACTACTCCAGGCCATTATTATAGTTTTCGCAAATTTTCCCCTACACAACAATCCGTGAGCGTGACGCTGCACTTTTCATCCATTATTAGACCTTTGCACCTGACCAATGAGGATTTATTGTGCACCAGTTTGAAGATCTTAACGAGATCTTCAAAATAGCACATGTTTTTCCTCACTCCATCCGCTTGATCAAATGTTATGGGTGTTGTGGGTGATGGGTGAATGTGATGGGTCGAAATGGCGAAATATGTGGAAATTGGCGTGTCACAAATTGAAAATTTCCTATTTTATTAGCATTTTGTCTTGAATGACAATGTTTTTGGCCGGATTATTACAAAAAAAGTAAATAGAATTCAATTACAACTTATTCTATTGAGATATTTTTCATAGAATTTCCTCGTCTCAAATGTTCTAAGTTTTTTTGTTTGATTTTCTTCATGAAAAGAAAAGAAAAATAGAATGAAAAAAACTTGAAAAATTGGAGCCGAGAAAATTCTATAGAAAATATCTCAATAGAATTGTCTCGCAAATTCGCTAAATTTTTCTATTCAATTTTTTCATGCGTGATGCTCTATGGAAGCATTTATTTCCCTGGTATTAGTATAATGAAACCAAGAACATCAACCATAAAACCTTCTGATTTTGTTTAATCATCACAGTATTCCAATTCTCTACTGAACCTTCTTACACTGAAAAAATAATTAATTTTGGTAATCAAATTTGTTTCAGACAAACAAAGACCTAAAATTCCCCCACAAAATCTCATTATAAATTCTTGCCTGAAACAAATTCGATTGGTAGAATGATTTTTTTTACTTAGTGTTGTGACGTGGTCAAATTTTTGCTGGGACAAAAATGAACGTTATCTCGTCCTTTTCCCTCGGTAAAGTCAGAAAACTGAAACTCGATGATTGTGGGCGCCAGTTGTTCTTTGTCTCGACGGAAACAACAAACCGAAATTAGGTCGAAGCGGAAAAATACAACGAAAACCCAAGATACAAAAACACAAAACATTAAACTTAAGGGGCCAAAGGAAAGGTGACAGGGTGCTCGCGCTGCTCAGGGGGTCGGTTGTGGAGAGAGGGGTAGGTCGAGGTGGTTATCGGGCTCTTATTCTCAAAAAAGGAAACATGAAAGCTGAATTTTAATGCTGAAATGTAGATGGCTATATTGTTCGTAAGTTTACAGAAAAGATGTACTCAAATTCACCGCAAAAGAAATCAACACTAAATAATCCATATAATACTGAACTCAATAAAAAGAACAAATTTTCTCCTAGGAGAGAGAAATACAAGATTTAAACAATGGCAATAAAAGAAAGCAGAATTGACTCAATCAATTTTGAGTAGACAAAGAATCAGAAATAGAGCCAAAATCGAATTAATTCTCTAAACTTCTATCCCTATAAGAATGACCCAAAACGCGACGGCAGACGCAAGAAAAATAATACTGGAAAACTGAGAATACGGTAACTAGGCCAAGATCGGCATAAACAATCATCCCTGCCAAATGAATTAATTCTGATCAAATCCCGAGTTGAACGCAATTAATAAACCCGAAAGGAATGCGAATAAGGCGCGATGTAGCGCCTTGATATACGTATCGAGATTGTACTCGCATTCCTAACAATAAATTGGGATTCGCTTTAACGAATTCATACGCAGTCAACACTCGAAATGTCGAATACGCCAAATACGGCACTCTATACTCAACGGTACTTGACCTTGAGTCCCTAATGGCCAGAACGGTACAAAATTTCTACATCTGATTTCACTAAGGTGACACGAACACTCTAATACTTTGAAAACTATTAGAAAAAGCACAATTAATCCACAAAACCAAGGCTCGAGAACGAATGGCGTAACTAGCAAAAAAAATACAACTTAATGAATCGCAAATCCAAAAAAAACTAGGCGTAACTGTATGCAAATGGAATCGAAAGTCGAAGCCGAAGTATTAAACACTAACGATATAGCCAGCATAATTTCCAAAGAAATAATACACAATGACTCTAGACGATACGCAAATCGGAAACCTGTCGGNCAACTTAATGAATCGCAAATCCAAAAAAAACTAGGCGTAACTGTATGCAAATGGAATCGAAAGTCGAAGCCGAAGTATTAAACACTAACGATATAGCCAGCATAATTTCCAAAGAAATAATACACAATGACTCTAGACGATACGCAAATCGGAAACCTGTCGGCTATAGAGTATAAAATGCGCGGCTGGTCACTTAAAGCGCCCAGAGTCACCTAAATCATACGATCTTTTGTAACATCCGCTTTAGTTTCGGTCAGTCACACAGCCCCAGCCCTGTATTTCTCACTAGGCTAATAAGGCTGGTGACAGCCGCTTGTTGTAAGTCCTCTGGTTCCAGGAAAGCCTGGCCCCAGATTTTATAGCGACGGAGAGCTAATAGGGGGCATTCACATAAAATGTGGATGACGCCCTCCTTATCGCCTCCGCACAGTCTGCAGTCTTCTTGTTCTGCAAGTTTCATCTTGAGCAGCTGAGCTCTGAGAGCTGTATGACCCGTAAGGAGCCCTACTGCTACCCTCAGATCCCCTCTGTGCAGCTCCAGAAGCTTTCTGGTCCTAACTCTTAGTTGCCCTCTCATAAGCAGTTTCGCTTGTCTGCAGGTCGCAACTTTCTCCCAACGCCTGACATGATCCCGCTG